TTAATACAATAAAACAAGTAAATATAAACACAAGAAAAAATGCTTACAATTTTATGGCAGATTCTATAGCGGGCCAAATGCTCGGAAATCATACCGCATGCGAGTGAAATGCGAGATTTAATCCTGCAAAACTCTCGCAAACAAATCGGGGAAATGATAGCAATATCGAGCCCTAACCGCCAAAAAAACGTAAGTGACATTTTCAATTTTATTTTTGAGGCAGAAATGCATCTAAGTAGATGCTCTAGGAACTAGAGGTATACGCCGTGTTTTGTCATTTCTCACGCGCCGCCGCTGAGTTACGAAAATATAGGGCGCGGCGGCGGCGGCGGCGGCGGCGGCGTACGGCGCCTAAGGAATTTTGTACAAAACTTTCATGATTTATGCACATTGAAATACATCTGGGGTGTTCACAGTTCGTTCCACAATATAACGTTCGTTCCAAATTGTGTCTGAAAATAGGTTTGTTCGTCGAAAATCCAGCAAGAATTATCCAACACTCAAAATATCAGAGAGTAAGAAAAAATTCTCTCAAATTCTCTCTCATGTTGAGAAACTTGCAAACTAGCACTGCACGAACGCAAATTTGCAGGAATTTGCAAGTTTCCCTGCCAGCATGTGTCCACGGTTGCATTTCAAACATAAACAATTTTTATAGAATTTTTAAAATTCTTTCGGATGGCCAAAAACAGGATATACATGTATATTTCTTGTTGTTCTGACTTTCTTTAACATACATTTCAATTTCTTCANATCAACAATTATTTACTTCCTTTTTTCATAAAAAAATCGCTCGTGTTTATAAATTTTTAAATTTAACGAACTAATTTATTCAAATTATTGATTTGTTTCTTTTCATCAGAAATTGCGCTCAAATTAAATGCAAATACAGAAAACGTGCCCAATAAATAAAAAAAAAAAAATTAATATTGCCATAATGCAACCCTGCTGAGAGGTTGCAAAATGTAGACACGTAAAAAACATACCTTTGAGTGTGACAAAATGTAGACGGCGTCGTTTTCCAATTTTGTATGGGAAACAACAACACCACAGATTTTACGGTTAGAAAACGTCTTAAAATGTAGACGTCTACATTTTGAGACACTATTTGGAACGAACTGTGAACACCCCAATCGTTTGAATGAACTAAACACTACTCGTATAAAAACACTATTTTATGAAATGAAAATTACATTTTTAAAGGGGTTTTTTGCATAATTTGGGCCAATGAACTTTTCCAAAAAAAAAAAAAACAAAACAGCGGTAACACGTTTTTCGATCGAAAGCGTTTATTACAGTTAAATTAGAGTCGAATACTGGTAATCTAACGATTTTTATCCGCAGTAGACAATTTGTTTCAATACCACAACAATACTACCACTACATATTGTACATATATACTACAGTTTTAACAGAAGCGCCCTTATTGCATCTAACTCCTCAATTATTGGAGATAAAACAAAGATAAGTTGAGTTTCCTGTGTATTTTTTTTTCAATATTTTAAACACACTTTTAATAAAAAGCAAACACTTTTTTTGCTTATTTTTACATTCGTAAGTTATTTTATTCTAGGGTCCCGTAGACGTATACAAGTACTAGGTAGCTGTGTGAAAACTACGTTAGCATTCCTAAGTGGTGGTCAAATTCCAGGAAGGTTTTGCTGCCGCGCATCGCAATGTCTTCTACACAGGGTTAAAGTCCCCTTTTTTTGGTAAAAAATACTATTAATTTTCATAACATTCGGTTCTTCTTAGACAAATTTGGCGCTTAATATTTTAGTGGAAATTTTAACCATCTATAAGCCATTTTTTAAACAGTGGGTCAAAAAGGCCCAAAGTAGACCAAACCTTGTTTTCAATACATAACCCACAAAAAATCGTAATAACTCCGTAATTTAACATAACGGTTGATAAGACTATTGCAAAAATTTATTGATAGCGACATATAATTACCCCAATAACTTAACTTTTAAAATTTTTGTATTTATTTCAATTTAAAAAGTACACACGGATTTGTAGAGAACATAGAGATGTATGTACACACTTCAGACTTGCTTCTGTTCGCCAATCCATCAGCGGCAGACACTCGACATTTTAATTCAAGTAGAAAGTAACGTAATTTAAATTTAAAACTAATTCAAGAATGAATTAAATACAATTACAATCTAAATTGACATGGCGAATGCCTAACGCTAGCGAGATGGAATCTACCTCATGGGCAGTAGCGCCGGCGTTTCCAGACGCATTGCCCGTCGGCGTAAATCTCTACTAGGAACATTTCTGCATCAAAAAGAAGATTTTGAAAAAATGTCGCCATTAACCAGTCTGTAAAATCATGAAATGACTTAGTACATATTAATATTTGATTTACTCTTCATCTGATATATTGATTTACACTACAAGAAGCATTCAATGGTTAGATAATCCAAATAAGCAATTGACAGGATGAACAGCAGGCCGGACCACTGAGTCTATGTGCCTTATTTTTGAGTATTTTTAGTTTGGCCGAACGTAGGTTCGCTTTTTTAAATTTTTCGTCATATCTTCGGTATTTACAATTGGCTCTTAAAGTATGTTATCTCGATGTTTTTGTCTTGAGGATACACTTTTTTCCAAAATTTAGTTATAATAAGGGTCAGGGGTGTACGGCGAACTTTGTTTTGTTTGCATGCAAGGGGACACGGTTTAATAGATAGTGATGGCACAGTACAGATTTCGGACCGCCTGAACCAGAAGCGCTCGCAAAATATAAGTGACGCTCGAGGCACGTTGAATGGATGTCGTCAACCCCACCATCTTTAATGGCTAGCAACCTATTTAGTTGTGCAGAAGACAGTCATCAGTTGTGTTTAGAGGCAAAACCTTGAAATAAAGATGAATACTCAGAGGCAAGGCAATACGGGCGTGCATTAGGGTGGCCCAAAAAAAAGTAATGTCGGAATTTTAATGCTCTCACCTCCCGGGCTATTCTACACCGAAAAAAGTATACATCTATTTTTTTTTTAAATCAAAAAATATTTTGAGGTCACTCAAAGCGCTCAAAGTTTTTCATGTTATGGAATATGGTTGAAAAACAACTTTTCGTAGAAATGGTATAGAATTCTCGAAAGTCAATATTTTTCGATCGGAAACCTGTGGTTCTCTTAAGGATACTTTCAATAATAATACCCAGTTATTTATGTAACCATTTCTTAAAATTAACGATTTTTTATTGGCTCTCCCCATGGCGTTTTTCGGGCTTTTGGCGGATCTATAATGTTTCATTTCAAAATAAAAAAATTTGGTATTTTTTTCGGTATAGAAAAATCCTAGGGGATGAGAGCATACAATTTTCGACTTTTTCGCAGGCATTTTTGGACCACCCTAGTGTGCATTCAAGTGCGAAAAAAAAGAAATAAAAACTCGTCGTGGTTGTTGTAACAACATACAAATTCCACAGAGCTTTTGGTGAGTGATGCTGGAGTGACAGTCCTTGGCCAAATATAAATGGGGGTATAGACCAGACTGTCGTGGGAACCTTCAAAACAAAACTTGTCACGAGCATGCCTGCGGCTTGCACAAGCTTTTTGTTCACCTCGAGTGCGAGGCTTTAAGATAAATAGATACATATCCATACAAGGTAATGCTACTACAACCAAAACAACAACCTAATCTTTTCATCAAAGTCCTGTGTCGGTCGAACATGTCGTAAAAATCAAAAACTCTTCAATTGTTAGATGCCATACTTTGTGCAAAACTTTGAAATTTGCCAAAAAATTTAAAGTTTTTTTTTGAGTTTGCCGTTCCGTAGTCCATTCAATTCTAGTACGTTAAAGTGCAAGTTTGCAGTACCTAGCTACTTACCGTTGATTTTTTTACAATTTCAATCAAAGTATGTTCGAAAATTTATTGAACTTTTTCAATTTTTGCATGAAAATTTTACTTTTATGTTTTATGTTGTAGTATGAACTGTATTTTATAGAAAAAATTAAAAACAAAATTTTTACATAAGTTGTGAAAAATTCTCTGTGCCTATACCTTTTCCCGTGACTGTATGTATGCCAAATTTTGAGTTCCTTCAGCGATTAATCTTCGAATGATAAAATCTTTATTTTTATTTTTTTTTTGTGAAATTTACTATATTTATTTTTTATTCTTCAGCTTTTACTAAACTATAAATTAAGTACATATCAAGTGTATGAATGCGATTTTTAATCTTTACACATATACATACATGTATAGATAGGTATACATAATTTATAACTGCTTCAATGAATGACTTTGTAGTTTATATGTATGTACTTGGTTTTTAATCAAAAAGTACTGAATTGCGCTAGATCTATGTAGGTATGTAAGTAAGTATGAATGTATGTATGTATGTATGTATATTTTTGCATTATACAAATTCGCAAATTTACTTATGGGTTTGTAGGTTTGGTACTTTCGTATGATTAGCTGTATGTATGGATGTGTGGGTGTGTATAAAACCTGTAAGCATGATGTTTACCTAATATTAGCTAATTTTATAGTTTCAAATTAACAATTTATACCAACATACATATGTATGTATGTATAACGCTCGTATTTTTTTTGGACAAAAAACTGTATATTACTGCGAAAAAAAAACGTTTCGCAGAGTCTCCATCAAAAAAAAAAAATAAGTTTTTTACAGTACAGTACACTCTAAGCTAGCGAAATTTATTATAAATTTATACCACCTTTGTGTGGTAAAAAATTTATGTAGCAAAAAAGTATTTTTTCATATAAATATAGTATTTTTGGGAAATTACCGCAGTATCCATTTTTTGAATCTAATAAAAGTATTATAATCAAATATAAGTATAGATACGAGCGCCTATGCACATATGTATACATATATATTAAATGATATATTTATGTATATGTACTATATACCATCCTAGTTCACATAAGTACGACTTTACATAATTTATGTTTTGAAACATTTATAAAAAAATAAAATCATTAGATACTAATTGTGTTCTTTTAAGCAAATCGCTTTCATTATTTATGCCTCTAAATTACACTGTGCTACCCAATACATTTTTTTGTATATCCTTTCTTTTAATCTTATACAATCTTTGTGTACTACTATATAAATTATAAAGGTATTTATTTAGTTAATTTTCTATACATATGCATACATATACATTGTATTTATGTGTATGTATGTATATAGCGAACTTGTTTTTTGTTTTTTGTTTTATGGTTTTACCACACACTACACTTTTCCACAGGATTCATCGGCGCGCCGAGTTTGCATTTGTATGCCTCGGCAAAGTCTTTTGAGTTGGAAAGTGGCGCGAGTACACGTATGAAACCGGGTGAGTGCACCGAAGAGCGTATTTTGGTGACCGCATCCTCGGGCCGCATTGAACCGCACCAAATTTGTGCGTAATTTAAGAAGAATAGTTGATCGTGTGTTAGATTGAGACCGGGTAAGACCGGTTCAGGTCCATGCCGCTTTACCCATTTCCTGTAGGCCTACGTAGTGCAACGGGCAAACTGTTTAATTCAAATTCAGAAGATTTTGAAGATTTCAAATAGATCACCTACCCGGAAAGCCTGCTTCAGTCCACCATTGTCCGCTATGTTTTCGCCTTGCGTCATGCGCCCATTTACATACATATCCACCTCTTCGATCTTATATTTGGAATACTGATCGATTATGCATTGTGTGCGTTCACGGAAAGCTTCGATCGTGGCATTGTTCCACCATTGCATCATATTGCCATCCTTGTCAAATTGGCGTCCTATCTCGATGAGAGAGAGAAAAAAACGATCCAATGAAAAATTAATGAATATTTATGTACTTAATTATTTCTAATGAAAATTATAATAAGTATAAGAAACAAGTAATTTTTAAACAAAAAAAAAACACAACCGACTTTAATTCTCATATACAAATTTAGGAGTAATCGTTAATTGGCTTATGATCCAATGATCGGATATCAACCTTCGCCTTTTTTTTGAAGTCGTTTAAAAATAGGGTTAAAAGAGTTCTCTAAATTAGCAGATTTTTGGGATGTTTTCTGGTATCAATAGAGAGATCGATATATGTAAGGGCATCGATAACAAAACCGATAAATAAATAAATAAATATTTGGCGAGAATCTCCTTCGATTTGTGCTGTGCGTCTAGACGTTGTTCTAATTTAGATGTTGGCGTGGTATTGAACCTCTGATCTGCCATGTCGTAGTAAGTAAGTCCTGTTTTCTAAATAAAAAATCTTTTTTTTTCCCACGTTACCTTTATCATCGAAGCCATGAGTAATTTCATGTCCAATTACGACACCGATTCCTCCGTAGTTTACAGATTTCGGATAATTGTTGCTATAAAATAACGGCTGGAATATTCCCGCAGGAAAGACTAAAAAGTATTGTAAATTGCTTTTATTGAAATATTTTAAAGCAACAGCTTATTTTCGAAAAAAAATACCTATATCATTCTTGTTTGGATTGTAGAATGCATTCACCACTGCCGGCTCCGTCGTCCATTTCTCCTTGTCAACAGGCTGATGTAGCAGTTGTAAATTCTTATCCGAGTCCCATTTCAGTATATTAAGCACATTCTCCATGAAATTATCGGGAATTATTGTGAGCTAAAAGATAACACATACATACATACATATGTGTAAATTTTCAATAGGTTCATCTACACTAACTATTTACTTAATTGGAATTTCACACTCACATTTTCGTATTCCTTCTCCAGCTCTGTTGCGTTGTTGAGTATTTCCGGATAACCGATCCGTTCATTCATTGCGTTCGCCTTCTCCCTAGCCACCGCACGCG